TGTTTCGGCTTCGCGTCCATGAATCAGTTTAAAAGGGGTAAAACCTGTCGTATCTTGTTTTGCCGTGTTGTAGGCGAACGTGACGTAGGGCAGGATTACGTCCCAGTCCTTCTGTTCAACACTTACATACATAGCGATCATGTTGGCTAAGGTTTTGTTTAACCTCTCCGTCAGTCCATTCGTCTGGGGATGATACGCTGTCGTGAACCGATGTATCGACGAGCATTGATTGGTGAGTTCCACAATCAACTTGGATTGAAATACTCGTCCTCGGTCCGTGATGATTTCTCTGGGGGCTCCGTGCTTGAGAACAACATCTTCCATTAAGAACTTGGCTGCTTCTTTTGCTTCCCCTGTGGGTAAGGCTTTAGTAACGGCAAATCGAGTAAGATAGTCGGTACAGACTATGATCCATTTATTACCATTATCAGACTTGGGAAATCTTCCAAGGAGGTCCATTCCAACTCTCTGAAAAGGGGAGGTTGCAGGAGGTATGGCCTTAAGTAGTCCGGGTGGCTTTTGAGTTGATTGTTTCTTTCTTTGGCACTCTTTACAATGAGCGACATACTTCCGTATGTCCCGGAGAAGTCCTGGCCAGAAATATTTATTTTTAACTCTCTCATATGTCTTCGAAAATCCAAGATGACCTGCTGTGGGAGCGTCGTGTAAACTTTTCAGTAGTTCTAAGCGTAAGTGCTTGGGAATAACTAAAAGGTGTTGGTTTCCCAGGGGGTCGAAATTCTTTTTGTATAAGGTTCCTTTTAACATTTCATATCCTTTCGATTCGGCACCAAATCTTTCTGTTTCCTCTATCAATTTACAAATTTTAGGGTCTTTTCTTTGTTCAGCCTCGAAGCACGTCAGAGCAGTTATTGAGGGTATATCATCATCCTCATCATTGTATGCTTCTTACGATTCAAGTTGGAGAGGATTTCGAGAAAGACAGTCGGCATCTTGGTGTTTGCGTCCACTTTTATAAACAACCGTTACATTGTATTCTTGGAGTTTTAAAGCCCATCTTGCTAGTCTTCCTGTCGGGTCCTTCAGATTAGATAACCAGCAAAGAGCGTGGTGGTCAGTGACGATGACAAACTCACGACCAAAAAGGTACGGTCGAAATTTGTTGATGACCCATATTGCGGCCAAGCATTCTCTTTCCGTTGTTGAGTAATTCTCCGCCTTAGATAAAGTTCTTGAAGCATAACCAACTGGCCGCTCTTTCCCATCGTTGATCTGTACGAGGACAGCTCCAATTCCATAACCGCTGGCGTCAGTATGAAGCTCGGTTGGCAGTTGTTCTTCGAAATAGGCAAGAACAGGTTCAGACATCAATGCTTTTTTCAAGGAATCAAAAGCATCCTGTTGGTCAGAGTTCCATATGAATTTATTATCTTTTTTGAGGACTTCGTGTAAAGGAGCAGCTTTCTCAGCAAAATTTTCGATAAATCTACGATAATAGGAACATAGGCCAATGAAGCTTCTCACATCTGTTATAGATTTTGGGGTCGGAAACTTGGCGATAGCTTCAATCTTTTCTGGATCGGGATAAATACCTTTACTATCGACGAGGTGTCCAAACACTCTGATTCGTTTGGTTCCGAAAAGGGTTGAGGCGTAGCTCGGCCTTGTCGAGACATTGTAGTATGATTTCAAGCCGGTGTAAATGTTCGTTGAACGATTTGGAATACACCACGATGTCGTCTAAATAACAGAGGGCCATCGTCCATTTCAGGCCTTTCAATATCTTGTCCATCATGCTCTCGAATGTTGCAGGGGCATTGCACAGGCCAAAGGGCATGACTAGGAATTCGTAGAGTCCGTCAGGGGTGATAAAGGCAGTTTTTTCTCTATCTGCTTCGTCGACTTCTATTTGCCAATATCCTGAACGAAGGTCCATTGATGAATAAAATTTGGCTCCTTTCAGGGAGTCAAGTGTATCATCGATTCGGGGTAGTGGGTAAACGTCTTTTTTTAGTAACTTTGTTTAGTCGTCTGTAATCCACACAGAAACGCCAGTTACCATCCTTCTTCTTCACTAAAATAACCGGCGATGACCATGGACTTTCTGAATGACGTATAATCCCGGCGTCTAGCATTTTGTCCACTTCCGTTTGGATTGCTTGGCGTTCTGTAGGGGAGACTCGATATGGTCTATGCTTAATAGGCTGATGGTTTCCAGTTTCAATTTTATGTTTGGCTAATGAAGTTTGCTTTACAGGTTCATTATTTTTATCAAATATTTTATCATATCGTTTTAAAATTGATAAGATTTGAGACTGCTGCTCTTCTGATAAATCATCACTAATTAAATTTTGTAAAAATTTAAAGTCACTTTTATCAGCATGACTGGCATGATTCGCATTTTTCACCTCCTTATTAGATTCAGAACATTCTGAAATAGCCGTCAAGTTATTTTCTTCAACCCTTTGAATTTTTCCTAGGCACATTCCCTTAGGGACTATTTGAGCTGTGGTGCTAGAATTTACGATCCAAAGTTTTCCTTTATTATGGGAAAGCCTGAATAATGCACAGGGAAGTGTTAACCCTTTTCCTATTAATACCTTTTTCGAAGGTTCAAAAAGTACCTGATTTTGCCCATTAAGCTCTTCACTCATAACATTTATTAGTTTGGTAGATTCGGCTGGGATTACGACGCTTCTGCTAGCCACAACCTTTCCCATGGAAGCTGGTGAATTTAGTACATCTTTGGCCTCTTCCAATCTGATTTCGGCGCGTCCACAATCAATCCCGGCATTTGATGCCTCTAGGAAATCCCATCCGAGGATAATACTTGGGTTACTATTAGGGAGGACGATAAACTCAAGCGGCTGTTCCAATCCACTGATGCTCAAGCTGATTGTGCATCGGCCGATCGATGTAACATTCTTGCCATCAGCAACTTTCAGAGTCATTCCGCTATCTTTGAACATGGTCATTTTTAATTGTCGTCTTAATCCATCAGAGATAACTGAAAAAGAGGAACCTGAATCGACCAGAGCCGAAAATGCAATGTCATCAATGATGATTTCGACATAATTTTGTTGTAATTTAGCGGCTGTCGACGATGGAGGGTTTTTCACACCCGCGGCTTCCCCCTCGAAAGAAGACGCGACGCTTAGTTTTTTTCTAGATTGTAGCGGCGTGGGGATTGGCTTGTATGGCGGCCTGAGGAAATGGACTGGCGTCTTGGGGATCTTCCTCTGTTTGGATACGGCGATTGTCTGCGGTAGGTTTGGCTTCTTATGGCTTGGTGGTTACCCATTTGAGGTTCTTGGGTGCTTGGTGCATGTCCTTCGGGTCTCTGCGTCCATTGTCGGCGTTCTCTACAATATCGCTTAACATGGCCTGGGCGGCCGCAATTAAAACATATTGGGATGTTGTCATGCGTCCTCCATTCATCCGTTCTTCGTTGTGGTGGCGTCTGGTTATATATGGGCGTTTGGGTAGGGTACTGACGTCGTGGAACCTGGTTGAATGTACGTGTTTGGTTGGGGTACGACTGTCGTGGCGGAGGCCTTTGAATAGGCTTCGAAATTGCAGCTACGTTTTTTTCAATCTCTTCTCGGATAATTTCTTTTAGAGAAGATGGTTCAGGGGTAGTTGACTCCGGATTTAGTGCGCGATGAACTTCTTCACGCACGATGCGTCGGATTAAGTCTTCCATTGATTCAGAGTCTGCTGAATCGATGGCGGCAACATTCGGTAGTCTGTCAAATACTACACGTTTTTTTTACACGTTTTTTATTTGAAGCCTCGATTTTTCGGCACCATTTGATGAACTCATCGATACTTGCAATGTCTAAAATGATGATTGACTGATATATCTCCTCCGATATTCCTTTCGTCAAGTGTGCAACTATTTCATTTTCCATCATAGCCGGATTCACTTCTCTGCACAGATGGAGAACATCTTGAATGTAAGAATCACTGGTCTCCTCCTTCCCCTGAGCTCGAGTTTTGAGGTTCTCTGCGAGTTGATCTTTTTGGGTGACATGATGTCCGAAATTCTGAGAAAACATTTTCACAAAAATATCCCATGAATTAATTTTCTCTTCAACATTTTCGTAACATCTGTGCGCTGTTCCTTGGAGGAAAAAATAAACATTTGCGAGGCACATTGAATCATCCCAGCAGTTGTAGCGAGCGACGCGATGGAATTCTTTCAACTATTTTTCTGGATTCTGGTTGCGTTCTCCAGTAAAAATAGAAGGGTTTCTAAAAGGTTGAAAATGGTATTCACCCATTTTTGTCTGTGTCTCTTGCTTGATCATAGCGATGTTTTCTTGAGGTTCTAGTCCTTGTAGTCTTCGGCTTCTTCTAACGGCTTGGGCGTCGAGGGAATATTCCAGCTTCTCCACCAGTTGTCACGGTAGTGATAACGAGTATAACAAAAGTTTAAGTAAAAATAATTTATTTATAAAATGCAAACTATTGCTAAGAATTTTATTTACAAGTAATAATATACAAGAATGGTAAGGGGTGATGACTATGCAAATATTAATGATGATATACCACAGAATATATAAAATAATTATTCAGTGACAATATATTATGAATTATAATAAACAATGCTAAAGATTAGTTTTAATTATTAATCAAGATTGTGTGTGAATATGTGAGAAAGATGTAATATCGTTGTTGTTTTCTTGGCCGACTGTTTTACATATGGTGTTATCTTAAAATTGCTTGTTTTAAATATTTTTTTTTAGATTGAGTTGAATGAATTGCTGAATTTTTTTTTGTATTTATATATAAATAAAATTAACTCTGTTGAATTTTTTTTTGTATTTTATCGATAACAGCAAAGTTATGTATTTTAAAGTTAGGAAAAATATTTTGATGTTAAGCAAAACCTGCTCCATCTCGTTTTACATAAATGTTGAAAATTTGGTCGGAATTGATGCATTGTAACGAAAGTTTTTAGCGAACACCACTTATGAAATTTCCATTTTATTAATATAGATATAATATAAATGAGTTTTAAAAATTGTTTAAAAAAATGCATCGGCCGGGAATCGAACCCTGGCCGCCCGCGTGGCAGGCGAGCATTCTACCACTGAACCACGGATGCTTTAAAAAAATCAAATTCATTTATCGTCGCGACCAGTGCTGCGCCCTAGCGGTAAAAGACTGGAACTAACGCTTTTTGGTTTTTTATTTTAAAAAAAAAGCACATTAACTTTTTTAGTTTTTTGAATAGCCTATATGTTAAACGAAATCTTCAGCTACCTACATGCGAAATTCCATAATGATTGAGTCAGTAGATTTTGCGTGATGCGATAACAAACATCGATTTCGCATTTCATTTTTATATATATAAGGATTTCTATATTACAATTTTACTTAGTACAATATACAGATGGTTGAGACCATTGGAACTATTGTTTGCTTTCCTAGTTATTGAAGATATCAAAAAGGTTATTACACACATTTTGTACACATGCACATTTATTCGATCTTGTTCAAATAACATAGATTGGAACTCCACCTTTGCCGGTCCCAAGCCCGGATGAAAAAGGAGGAGGGGGAGCAGTAACAAGCTCGCTAGAAAACCTGGGTTCAGCTGGCCCGGCTGATAGTACCCTGTAAGGGCTCCTGGAATACAGGATGAGTAGTGTTTGTACTCCATGTTAGGAGCGGCTGCACATGTCTTTTCCTCATGTCAGAGGCGGCCATTTCTTTTGGAGCTAAGTCGGCTTGCCACTGAGTAGTGCTCCCAGTCTTAATCACAAAGGCAGATGCATTCTACTTCACCCAGTCATGATGGTTGTCAAAGCTTGATACCCTGATATGATTGAGTGGAGATAAGAAAGAAGAAGACAGAGATTGGGTTATAAAAGTTTTCTCAACATTTTAACAGTTTCTGTTTAAACCTGTTCCCTAACAATGATGTATCAAGCTATGCCCACATTAGAACAGGCAATAATTAATATCCTACCAAACTGAAGTTCGAATTGCTCCAGCACCGACAGGCTATGAGAGACCAACATATAGGTATAATGCACATAAAAATGACCAAAGACACGTGTGTCAACCATTTTATTACAATAATACAAAGGTTGTATAATCACCAAAATATTTACATTGTTTTTGTACTGTAGGTCGAGGTAACATGAAGTAGCAGACAATTCACATGTGTGAACAGTGTTGTGGTGGGTGCACCAGCCGTGGAAGGAACCCTCGTTATAAGCGATACATTAAAACACATATTTGAGCTTTATCTCCATCTTTTAAATTCAGAATACAAATATAAATTTCCAACATTTTTTTTTATTGAAAATAAGAGATTGGTAAAAAAAGACTATCTGTTGTAAAGTGATGTTAAAATAGAACCAAGATGAAGCGTGAATACCAACTGAACACATATATACTGTCTGCTACCAATATCAGATAGGGGTATCTCACTTGGTATGGTATCTCACTGTAGTGATCAAATAAATCGTTACGCCCCGGTATGTAAGCTATAGGTTGGCAATCAAATGAATTAAAACTTGCAATGAATATATCGGTGGTACATAAGGCGATTGACCTAAAACAGTGTAATTGGGAGAAGTGAAATTTAGAAGAAGTCAACCAGCTCTCTCTGCTGTGAAAACAAATTCATTTTGCTTACTTGAACACGGCCGATGTCACTGCTGACATTCACAGTCAACGGCTTTCATTTGCGTAGATACTGTCTAAAGAAAACCCATATACAGAGAAACCTTTCTTTTACGTGGACTGTTTTAAAAGCGCAAAGCTTCCACATGGAGTCATGTGGTGGCAGCATGCATTCTTGAACGTCTTCTGAGCGGTAACCCATCGGACCCTGAGACTACATGGCTCAGATTTGTACCGAAATTTGATCGTTTTATAATTGTAAATTGTATGAGCACTAATTTTATGAAACACTATTGAAAAACAGTGTTTGTTCAAGGTTTTCCAATAGTATTGGATAATTTATTCCTACAAATAAAATGTATATATAAAATACAAGGTTTATATCAATGACCCTGGTAATGCCATTGTTGCGAGGTGATAGCCATGGAAATATTTCGCTCAAAGTCCACGACGCAGGTAACCCTAGCCCATATATAGTATAGCCAGGAATGAAACCACCCACCACAGCATGAAGCAAAGTGCGCAAGATGGGCTGAACTACTGTGGACAGCATTGTTTTATCAGTCTAATATATATTGATATAGAAGTTGGATCATTTAATAGGGCGGCATTGAAACTGTGAAAGATATTCTATAGAGGCTTGTGTTTGGATAAATATCTGCCTTTTTCGAATATTGGCAGGAAGATCGATACCCAATAATGGTTATTACAAAACGATCGAAATGACAAGATCTCTGATGCTACAAGCTTCGAGTTGAAACCAGTGTCAGTCAGGACATTACCACTTCTCCCTCTTTCGCCAGCACTAAGAGGTCCAGCACCTGGTCCAACTTGCCGTAGCGGTCGGTGGCCGGCTCGGCCCATCCCCGCGTCCCCCACAGCAGTCGCAGGTGGAACTCGGGGCAGAATAGCGCCAGCAGCGAGGCATCCCACCGAGGCTGGGATAGCAGGGCCTGCCGGTTGCGGATGAGCAGCGAGGCTAGCGAGCCGCCCATCCAGGCGCGGGCCGCTTCGAGCTGGTCCAGGAGGGTCTGCAGGCCGAAGTCTGCCCCGATAGGACACGAAGGTTCTTCCCCTTCCATCAGCCCTAGAAGAGTACCTAGGTAGGGCACGCACGTGTTGGGGGCTTGGGGCTCGCGGCCCTCTCGCATAGCTTTCAAGCTGGGTCGTAGCTTGGTCTCGAAGGTGAAGGCTGTTGCGGTGTGCGTCTGACGCATACACAGCCAAGTCTGTTTGAGCCGGCTCACTTGCGGCTTGTCCAGTCCGGCCATGAGGGCTGCAAAGCCGAAAAGATTGCCCATGGCAGTCTTGGCCTCGAGGGCCACCTGCACCCATTTCTCAACCAGCTGTACGCGCTCGGCCAGGTCGGCGCTTGTCAGTACAGTGGCGGCTACCAGGCAGGCCAGGGCCCGGCTCCTGCACAGCACCCACACTTAGCTGACCATTGTTAGACTTTATTTAGCTTATTTAGAGGGGTATCCACACACAAAGCCTCTTATTATTATTTTTAATTTATAGAAATAATTAATCAGCATTGATAGACGTCCCAAGTTATGAACTACCTCGGATGGTTCAACTATTCTTTTGCATTTATATGTTTAACGACTCTATGGAATCCATATATTGGGATCATATATTAGACAACATTCGAGAAAATCTCAACTCCTAAATATCTCCCAATCTATAATGTTTAATATTTTCGTTCCCTAAATTCCAGTGACATCACATCAGTGCTCTCACCTCTCGGTCAGGTCCCTCCGGAGCCCTGCCCCCTGAGGTAGAGTGATCAACTCCACGCCCCCGGGCCCCAGCAGCTCGAGGTCGGCCCGGGTGAGGTGGGCGGCCAGCACGCGAGGGGGACCGCCGATCAGCAAGGACCTGACAGTGGGCAGGATGGTGGGGTCCAGGGGCCGAGAGTCGCCCGGCATCAGTGTGGGACAGGACCACTCGGACTTGATGGACCACGCCGAGAGGTCTCCGGTCAAATCCACCCCGTGGCGCACCGGGTCAGCCACACACTCCACGGTCTGGAGCCGGCGAGGCTTGGGGGGAGGATCTCCCTGTGGCAACTCCGTCTCAATCCCCGAGGCGGGGCGGGGTCTCAGGGTGGCGAAGAGACAGGAGGGAGCAGGCGGTGGCGTGGCCCGCACTCGGACCGAGTCCGCCGAGTGACCCTCCACCTGCAGGGCCCCGCTGCTCGCAGCATCTCCAAACCTGCGCCCCATTGCTACATTTGGCACAAGGTAGCCAGTGTTCTAAGGAAAACTTCGTAACTAAGAGATAAAAAAACAAACAGTCAATGTAAGATATACATTGTTAAGGAAACGCTAGAAAAAAAAATTGGCATAGTGGAAAGCTTGGGCAGATGGCCGTTAGAGAACACGTGCGCGCCAGAAATAGTTCAGGGAAGGGGGGGATTGCAGTGTTGACCTGACCGTGGAGGTAACCTGAGGTTGTCGAGGACGGATTAGCGAATTGGCTGTACGGAGAGGATTTCTCTGTTGGAAAGTGAAACACCGGAACGAGTATGTGTCGGCAGCGGATCAGCCCACAAGTCCAGGCTGGACATGGACTGTATGTGAAGCGGGACACTTCGGAAAAATGGCATCCACGGCGCCAAGTATCCTTCTGACTGCGGAGGTTGGAGGCAAAAGTCCCACTTATATTGTTTTTCTTCTAGTTAAAATCCTAACACTTAGCTGCAGCCCTTCCCGAGCTAACATTTCACCTTTGAATAATCCTGATTAGACAAATAACACAAACGGCGTCAGGGTAGGACACAACACTATAAAGAGAATTCAGATAGAAAGGCATATATATATTTGATATTTCGCCTATTTTAGAAACTAACTTTACTTTTTTGAAAGACATTCTATTTTTCTGTTTGTAGCTTTCCAATTAAACTTTAAAAACATGTCTCTAGTGTTCCACCATTACTCTTCAGCTGACCACCGATTGGTGGACTTTCACAGAGTCCTCTCAATTGTCCCGAAGACTGAGTGAAACAAGCTCGTTACATAACCAGAGGATCGCAAAAGAGCCGAGATATACAAACTCTAACCTAACCATTATTAACAATTCAGAATTGAGGGCGAGTTGAAAATAAAATTATTAATTATAATTACTAATAATTATTAGTAACGTATTATACTTACTCTTAGCATTAAAGGTGAATATTTATTTCTAAATATATAGATAGATGTATCATTGAAAACTAAGGCAATTTAAAATGATGAAATGTCATAAATATCTCCCACTCATCCTTATAAGAATGCTAAAATAAATCAAACAATGAATTGAACTCTATATGGAAAAATAGGCAGAGTCCTGTAGAAAATCTCTAGTCGAAACAAATAAGCCTGATGATATAAACAAAGAAAATAAACGATAAATGGACTTTATTGCAAAATAAATTATAGGAGAGAAATAGGGTTTGTAGCAGTTTAATTAAAATCACATGGCTCGAAATGT